GACATTCCAATAGGTGTCTTGTAAGCAGTGCGATACGCCCATAAAGCATCGTCTAATTTCTTTGACCAATCCTTGCGAGATGAATTCACAGTGAGCTCCAGAATTCTTTTCAATTGTCTGTTCAAGTTTCCACCTGTCCACTTGTCTGAGGGTGGTAAGGAGTGGCAATTTGATGTTGTACCTCGTATTTATACAGCACTGCCTGGAATAACCGATTACGGAAATGAGTTCCACCATTACTTATTATGGCCCCAGGTGATCCATAGCAGTTAAAGATGTGTTTCTTTATGAAGTCTATCACTACCCTTGCATCATTTGTTGGCAATGCTTTGGTGTCCACCCATTTAGAGACATAATCCACTGCCACTAGAATGTACCTATTGTTGTAAGATGATGGAAAAGGACCATAAAATCGACCCCTTAGACATCGAATATTTCAACCTCCAAAATATTGTTAAGTGGCATCTCGTGACGTGCTGATATGTTACTTGTTCTCTGACACTTATCACATGACCTGCAAAAATTGTGGCAGTCCTTGAACAGTGTAGGCCAAAAGAAACCACATTGAAGCACTTTTGCTGCTATTTTAGTAGGGCCAAAGTGTCCTCCGTAAGCCGAAGCATGAATCCGTGAAAGGATCAGTTTCATCTCATCCTCTGGCACACATCTCCTAGTGATCTGGTCTGCCCCTCTCCTGTATAGATTTGGATCATCTAGGTAATAGAATTTCACTTCATAAAGTAGCTTCTTCTTCTGCTCATAGGTGAGATTTGGATCCATATAGCCACTAGCTAAGTAATTGACAACGTCTGCATACCACGGAGCCTTCTCTATTTGTAATAACTGTTCATCTCGGAAGACCTCATTAATATTCATGTCCTCTGAATCCTATAGTTGCTCTAGCCTTGATAAATGATATCTACTTGATTTTCTATTCCTTTTTTATCACGAATCTCGATGTCAAATTCTTGTAGCAACAGAACCCATCGAATCAGCCTAGGTTTAGTATCCTTCTTTTCAAACAGATATTTCAAGGCTGCATGGTTAGTGTAGACTATCACCTTTGAACCAATCAGATAGGAACAAAATTTATCGAAGGCAAAGACCACTGCTAGCATCTCTTTTTCCGTTATTGTGTAGTTGATTTGAGCATCTGTCAAGGTTTTACTGGCTTAGTAGATGACATGTAACACTTTTCCTTTGTGCTGGCCAAGCACTGCTCCCACTGCAAACTCACTAGCATCACAGATAAGTTCGAAAGGTTGATCCCAATTAGGTGCTACTATTACAGTTGCAAAAGTTAACTTTTCTTTCAAAGTATTAAAGGCATTTAAGCACTCATCAGAAAAGTGAAACAGCAATCCTTCTCTAGTAGATTACATAGAGGTTTTGTAAGTTTTAAGAAATCTTGAATAAACCTTTTGTAAAACCCTGCATGTCCTAAGAAACTTCTGATCCCCTTAACTGAATTAGGAGACTTCAATTTTTCAATCACTTGTATCTTGGCATTGTCAACTTCAATGCCATTTGAGGAAATCTTGTGGCCCAGCACTATCCCCTCTTTTACCATGAAATGACCTTTTTCCCAACTTAGTACTAGGTTTTTCTCTTCACATCTTTGCAATAGAAGAGCCAACAAATCCAAGCAGTCATCAAATGAACCTCCAAGCATAGAAAAATCAGTATGAATACCTCAATGTATTTTTCCACCATGTCAGAGAATATGGCCATCATGCACCGTTGAAAGGTTGCGGGTGCGTTGCATAAACCAAAAGACATCCTTCTAAACGCAAAAGTTTCATAGGGACATGTGAAGGTTATTTTCTTCTAGTCTTCTGGAGCAATAACTATCTAATTGTACCCAAAATATCTGTCCAGAAAGCATTAATGAGAATGACCTTCCAACCTCTCCAACATTTGATCAATGAATGGCAATGGAAAATGATCCTTTCTGGTTGTATTGTTTAGCTTCCTGTAATCTATATATACTGATGTGAACCTATGTAGGCAAACACTACGGAACCCACGAACAAGATAAAAATCTTTCCAAGAAAGCCAAAGCAAGATTTTGAATTCGAATTCGATAAATTTGGAACCAAGCAACCCGAATCGCCGACAATGTGCGGACCTCTTGATTACGCAAAATTATGAAATTTCACCTGGTTGATTTGAATGCCACAAGAATAAGATCTTGATAATTTCAAAAGTTGTTCGATTGGAATAACAAAGATAAAGCAATTAAAGCCTTTCAATTAATCAATATGTCAAAAAAAAAATTTTACAATGAATATAATAAGAGCATTTATACTAGTCCTAAGAATCTAGGTAATTTCATGCATAATCTCCTAAATATGGTAAGAAATCAATTAAATATAGAATTCTAGCAAAACTAGGAAAATCGCAAAAAAAGAAAAAAAACGCGTCTGAAAATGACCATGCGGTCACATGGTTCAATTCCATGCTGCCGCATGGAATTGAATTCTGGTCCCCTTCAACTCTCGGCCTAGGTCTCCACTCTGTCTTCGTCCATTTTTAACAAGTTGATCCAAGTCTCTTCGATCTTCGACCCCAACATGAAACTTGTTCCATTTTGTGTCTCGAACATGATTTCATCAACGGTTATTTTGACGAGCAATCTCATCGCCTCTTTTACTCGCTTCATCCTCGCTCGAGTCATCGGACCGCCCTCGACTACAACGGATCTTTCTTCGGGCTTGACGTTAGACTTGACCTTAACGCTTGTGGCTCTTGGATCACATCATCCTTATCCTCTTTGAAAGGATTCGTCCTCAAATCTGTACCTGCATCAAAGAGAGAAAGATCAGATAAATTAAAAGTTGCTGAAACATTATTCTCACTTGAAAGATCGAATTTGTATGCGTTGTCATTGATCTTCTCAAGCACTTGAAACGGTCCATCTCCTCATGGCAACAACTTTGATTTTCTTTATTCTGGAAACCGCTCTTTCCTGAAATGCACCCAAACCCAATCTCCTGGTTTGAATGTAACAATCTTCCTGCCCTTGTTTACTTGCTCTGCATAGTGCTTCCTTTTCTTCTCAATTTGCTCCCGCACGTTTTCATGGAGTGACTTCACCAGCTCGGCCTTCCTCTTCCCATCCAAGCTACTTCGTTCATTCACAGGCAAATGTATTAAATCCATAGGTGTTATAGGATTAAAATGACAAACAATTTCAAATGGAGAAAATGATTTAGTGGAGTGTGTGGCCCTATTATATGCAAACTCGATGAAAGGTAAGCACTCTTCCCAATTCTTCAAATTCTTATTAACCACAGTGCCGAATAGGTGTATCATGGTTCTATTCACTACTTCAGTCTGTCTATCGGTTTGTGGGTGACAAGTTGTAGGAAATAGTAATTTCGTGTCTAACTTATTCCACAAGACCCTCCAAAAGTGACTAAGAAATTTGGCATCCCTATTTTACACAATAATTTTTGGTACTCCATGCAAGTGCACAATTTCTTTAACGAACAAGTCTGCAATGTTAGGGACATCATTAGTTTTGTGACATGCAATGAAATATGTCATCTTATTAAACCTATCCACCACTATAAAAATCGAATCCCAACCCTTTTTAGTCCTAGGCAAACCTAACACAAAATCCATTGAGATGTTAACCCAAGGTTCACTAGGTACTGGCAAAGATGTATAAAGTCCATGAGGTAAAACTCTAGATTTAGCCTGTTTACAAGTTATGCATCGACTACAAATTTGTTCCACATCAACTTTCATTTTAGACCAATAAAATGCTCAGTTAATATTTCTAAAGTCTTTGCTACCCCAACGTGACCCATTAGACACCCACTATGTGCTTCTCTAATCAATAATTCACGCATAGAGCAATTAGGAACACATAATTATGACATGTATTGTAAATGTTGGAAATTCAGAATCATTAGTATACATGTCCTTAATGTACTCAAAACCAAGGAATTTTGCACTTAAAGTAGTTAAAAGTATATACCTTCGTGACAATGCATTTGCTACTACATTTTTCTTACCTTGTTTGTAACGAATGACATATGAAAAAGTTTCTTTGAATTCCATCCAGCGTGCATGTCGTTTGTTTAACTTACCTTGACCTCACAAATGTTTTAGTGATTCATGATCAGAATGAATTACAAACTCTTTTGGCCACAGGTAATGCTGCCATGTCTCTAAGACTCGTACAAGTTAATAGAGCTCCTTATCATACGTAGGATAATTGAGAGCTGCACCACTTAGCTTCTCACTAAAGTAGGCTATAGGTCTCTTGTCCTACATTAAGACTACTCCAATACCTATTCCTAATGCATCACACTCAATCTCGAAAGTTTTGTTAAAGTTAGAAAGTGCTAAAATCGGTGCTTTACACAAACAATCTTTGATAGTGTTGAATGCATGTTCTCGTTCTACCCCCCATTGAAACCCCACATTTTTCTTGACAATCTCAGTTAGTGGTGTGGTGATTGTGCTAAAATCCCTAACAAAATGCCTATAAAAACTAGCCAGTCCATGAAAACTCCTAATCTAAGTTATGTTTTTAGGTGTCGGCCAATCTTTAATAGCTTTTATTTTCTCTTCATCTACCTCTACACCATTAGCACTAACCACAAAGCCTAGAAACACAACTCTATCCATGCAAAAAGTACACTTCTTAAAATTGGCATAAAGTTGTTCCTTTCTCAAAACCACAAACACACATCTTAGGTATCCTACATGATCATCAAGATTCTTGCTATAAATTAAAATGTCATCAAAATAAATTACAATAAATTTTCCAATGAAAGTACCCAAAACATGGTTCATTAACCGCATAAAAGTCCTTTGTGAGTCCAAACGGCATGACTAAGCATTCATACAATCTATATTTCGTTTTAAAATTCGTTTTCCATTCATCACCCCCCCTCATGCGAATTTGATGATACTCACTTTTAAAATCAATTTTACTGAAAATACATGCACCATGTTGCTCATCTGGCATA